CAAAAAAAAAAAAAAAAAATAGTTGTATTGCATCAAACGGAGAGTACTTCGAAGGTCACCGATGTTTAAACATGTAACAATAAATACAAAATGTGTGTGTTGGAGTCTCACTCTGCTGCCTAGGCTGGAGTGCAGTGGCACGCTTACAGCCACCACAGCCTTGACCTGCTGGGCTCAGGTGATTCTTCTGCCTCAGCCTTCCATGTAGCTGGAACTACAGGCATGTACCACCAAGCCCGGTTAATTTTTTGATTTATTGTAAAGATGAGGTCTAGCCAAGTTTCCCAGGCTAGTCTTGAACCCATGGGCACAGGCAATCCCCTCATCTCGGTCTCCCAAAGTGCTGGGATTATAGGCGTGAGCCACCGTGCCTCGCCTAATACACAATTTTGTATAAATACATTTTGGGTTTTCCCCCCCATTAAAATATCATTGAAAGGATACACAAGAAACTGACAACAGTGGTTGCTTCTGGGAATGGACCAGGGAGGTTGAGTACTTGGGATAGGATGAAGAATTTTTACTGGTGTCTTTTTGAACCCCTGGAGATATGCTATTACTCATTAAAATAAATTAATACAAGCTTTTATTTATTTAATTATTTATTCATTTATTCATTTTTATAGAGACAAGGTCTTGCTTTGTTGCCCATGCTAGTCTGGAATCCTGGCCTCAAGTGATCCTCCCACCTTGTCAATAAAAGCTGTTAAAAAGAGTAAAGTAATATCAATCTCATGACATTCAATGTGACGATTACTTGGGTCACGTGACAACCATCAACTACATAAATCTGTTTGTGACTTGGGAATTTGGAAATGCTTAGTCCAGTCTGGGAATTCCCAGATTGCTTTTTTCACAGTGGGAATGAATGCTGTTTTTAGTTGATAGACAGATACATACATCTGCAAGCCCTCAGAGGCCCCTTCAGCAACTCGCAGATTCCAGTGATTTTATTTTATCTATTTTTTGAGTTGGGGGTCTCTCTCTGTTGCATAGGCTGGAGTGCAGTGGCATGATCATGGCTCACTGAAGCCTTGACCCCCTGGGTTCAAGCGATCCTTCTCCCTCAGCCTCCCGGTAGCTGAGACTATAGGCATGCAGCACCACACCTGGCGAATTTTTTGAATTTTTTTTTTTGAGTCGGAGTCTTACTCTGTCACCCAGGCTGGAGTGCAGTATGGTCATGGCCACCACAGCCTCACCCTGCTGGGCTCAGGTGATCCTTCCACTTCAACCTTCCAAAATGCTGGGATTACAGGTATGAGTCACGGCACCCAACTTTACTGTAATTTTATGTAAAATGAGCAGTATCGATTGGAATTCCAGGTCTTCTGTTCTCACTATTGTTGGTGGAAACAAATGGCCCAATACTAGAATAGTAGATTTTGTTTTTAATCACTAGCTCCCCCAAGAGTCGTTTGATATGCAAATAAAGTCCTCTCAATAAATATTATCTCAATATTTTTTTAATCATAAAAGCAACATGACATGATCTGGAAAGCTTTAGGGATTTAAGTGCTGTCATCAGCTGTGAGATTTCATTTTCTAGGATTAATCGAAATTGCTGCCACCATCTCTATAGCAAAGGAGTCAAAAGCAAGTAACAGGCTGATCCTTGCTGAGGAATGGAACTTCTCAGGGGACAGGGAGAGGAGACTTTTCTCTTCACCTCAGAAATACCTGTAGCCCTTAGCCAGGGAGTTCATTTCCATTTTATCTGTTCTGAGGTAATGGCATCACACCTGGAGCTGAATTGAGCCTGGCCATGTGCTCTTTGAGCTATGGCTGTTGCCATGCTTCCTGGTTTTGACCCTCTCCCTCACCTTGGGGAGGTGAATTCTCTCTCTCTCTCTCTCTCTCTCTCTCTCTCTGAGTCAGAGTCTCACTCTGTCACCCAGGCTAGAGTGCAGTGGCAAGCTCAACACCACCCCAGCGTCGACCTGCTGGGCTCAGGCGATCCTTCTGCCTCAGCCTTCCAAGTAGCTGGAACTATAGCCTGGCTAATTTTTTTTTTTTTTCCAGTTGGAGTCTCACTCTCTCGCCCAGACTGGAGTGCAGTGGCCGCTCCCGGCCACCGCAGCCTCGACCTGCTGGACTCCGGCGATCCTTCCGCCTCAGCCTTCCAAGTAGCTGGAACTACAGGCATGCGCTACCACGCCCGCCTGATTTTTTGATTTATTGTAGAGATGAGGTCTCGCTGCCCAGAATATTGTAGAGAAAGCTCACACTGTGGAGGTGGAGGAGACTGGATGGCTTGAGCCCGCGGGTTCGAGACCAACCTGGGCAACCTGGCGAGTGCATCTCTACGATAAATAAAAAAATTAGCCGGGCCTGTAGTTCCAGCCACATGGAAGGCTGAGGCAGAAGGATCGCCTGAGCCCAGGTCGAGGCTGCGGTGGCCGTAAGCGTGCCACTGCACTCTAGCCTGGGCGACAGAGTGAGACTCCAACTCAATAAACATTTTGTAAAAGGAAAATAGTTGTGCTCTTAGAAATAGTAACAACCTGGGGGGGGCGGGTGCTCTCAAACGGGGGGGAGCGCAGGGCGCGAACACTTGATGAACTCTGTCCTTTCAAGAGCCCCCGGGGGGAGCTGCCGGGGGGAGGAGCTGCCGTCGGGCAGGTCCGCTAGCTGAGACGACGGAGGCCACTACTGCGGGACAGCGACCCCGCCTGGGCGAGCGCGGCGCGGGGAGCGCGGGGCGGGGCGGGGCGGGGCGGGGGTGGCCCCTGCCGGGAAGGGGCGCGCCGGCCGCCTCACTCCGTCGCCTCCTTCTTCCCCTCCGGCACCTCCACCGACAGGGTCTGCTCGCCGGGCTCTGGGCCCGGGCTCATGCGGATCCGCACCGCGTGCTCCTCGGGCCTGGCCGTTCCCTCCTCGGGCCTCCCGGGGGAGGCAGGCGGCGGAGACCGCGGGGCCGGGGGCGCGGGGGGCTCCGGGAGCGCCGGCTGGGCCGGGGCGGCTTCCTCCGGGGCGCCGGACTGGGCCGGGGCGGCCGAGCCTGCCTCTCCTGCGGCGTCTTGCGAGCTCTTGGCCTGGAATCCGGAGAGGGGGACTCGTGAGACAGTGCGTCAGCGGGTTCTTGGGCGCCTCCTGCACCCCTTGCTGGGACCCCCAAAGGACAGCGGGGCGCAGGGGGTGAAATCTAGTGGGTGGGGCGGAGCTGCATCAGGGTTATTTAGAAGAAACCATACTCGGTATTATGGGAAAGGTTGAGGATTAAAAGTCCTGCTTGGGTTTCATGGAGGGTCTGGAGATGTTTTAGATCTTTGAGATGCAGGGCTGGAGGGGTGAAGTTGTAGGTTCAAGGGCAGATCGCCATCCCTGAGCTATTGAGGGAGGGGAGGCAGTGACCAGGAGGAAGGCCACTAAGGCCTCTGCAAAGGTGGAACCGTCCTGCCCTGCCCCGCCTTGCCCCAGTTACCAGCAATGGGTGCTCCTGGAGCAACGAGAGACTGCTAAGCAAACAAGGTGAGGGGTGCTGAGAAGCTGGGGCCTGGCTGCCTTTCTGGAGGGTCTCGAAGCCTGAGTTTCTCAGGGTAAGACGGGACTGGGCGCCACTGGCATTAGGCTGCGCTAACCCGGGTTTGGGGACTTGCTGGGTACCTCCAGCCGCCAGCCTGTGCTGCCTCCCATAGGCGTCAGCCATGGTCTTGGTTTGCGTGTCAGTAGGGAACGGGGGGGGGATATCTTTGACCCCTCCTGCTCTGTCTGACCCCCATCTCTGCATGGCAGGAAACTGGAGAAGGAACAGCCCCCAGAGGAGGAGGCTAAAGTGATCCTCTGCTGCTGAAAACCCAGGTGAGATGGTGGCAGTGAGCTTAAAGTGAGAGCAGTCGATGTTCTTGTGAGGAGTCCAGACCCCTGAAGTTTGCTCATGTTGGGGGGTGTTGAAGGAAGGGAGCAGAGGGTGGAAGCCAAGATGCTCCTGGAACCCAAGGCAGCTCTGGGGCCTACTGCTCCATCTTGGTGTTTTTGCATGTTTCCGTATCCCTGTGCCACCCTTCTTGTCTACCCTAAATTCTGACAATGCATGCCAGGGCAGGATGCTTGGATGGTTGCCATTAAGGGACTTCTGGAGCATCGTGCTATGAATGGATTCAGACGCATCACTGGGAGGCTTAGTAAAGTGCTTTGCCATGTTCAAGACGCTTTCATAAAAGGCACTCTGCCTGATCTTACAATCCCGCGTGGCAACTCTGAGTCATCTGGGTCTCAGCAAGTCTGAGGAGCTTCCCCGGGTCGCGGACCTAGCTGGTGACAGAGCTGGGATTTGGACTTGTGTCTCTGAACTTCTAATTAAGAGCTCCCTGCATCCTGCCATTCTGGCTGTTCTAAATTGAAGAGGAAATGCCTTTTCTTAGAAAACTCATGCAAATTTAATTCACATCTCAAGGCTTAGGAGCAACAAGCCCATTTCAGAAGCCTTTCCTGTCCTGAGAGCACCCTTGAGTTCATGTCTACTCAGCCCCTCATAGCAGCCAGCACCCAAGACCCCAACATTCCGGCTCGACCTTGACCTTGACCGTTTGTGAGCCAGGCAATCACATCTTTCTTTAGTCTGGGGTCACTGGTGGCTGTGTCTGGAGGATGTCTGGGAGCCCTAAGTGGCTTTGATGTCACTCACCGGACTCCTGCTGTCCAAGACCTCTGGATGGGTGCCAGTTTTGAGTGAGACTGAGTTTATTTGGCTCCTTTAAACTCTGTTGTGTAGACTTCTGTCCTCTCCTCCCAAGAGTCCCTGCCATTGACTTCCTGACTAACCCTGGTCCTTGGCCCCCTTTTCCAGCAGCCTTCCTAAAGGACAGTCATGAATAGGCATAATTAGTGTAATCATTCTAATTGGCATTCTTGGCTTTAGTCACAGAGAACTCCCAGAACTAATGTTAATGCTCCCTGTAGATTTATGGGGGTTGGGGCACTGTGCCTATCTTTGTGAAGTTTTTCCTTTCCAATATTTTAAATTGTCACAGCCACAATATTAAACGCGAGAGCATTGCTGTTGAATGGGGAGGAACATTCCTTGCCCATGTCTCCTCCCTTGACCTTGGCAACAGCACCAGGATTTCCCTTTGGGGGTCCTCTGCTCCCCACTCTCATTCCAGGGATGTGTATGTGACCCAGGCCTCTAAAGAGCACCACATTCCTCTGGTCACACTGAATGCCTCAGGAATTTGGCATGTGACCAATTTTGTCCATTGGCAGTAAGTCCTGGGACTTTTGCTAGAATCACTGGGAAAAGAGGTGTTTTCTTTCTTTCTTTCTTTCTTTTTTTGAGTCAGGATCTCACTCTGTCGCCCAGGCTGGAGCACAGTAGCACGTTCATAGCATGCTACTACAGCCTCAACCTGCTGGGCTCAGGTGATCCTTCCTCCTCAGCCTTCCAAATAGCTGGAACTACAGACACGTGCCACCACGCCTGGCTAATTTTTTGATTTATTGTAGAGATGAGGTCTCACCAAGTTGCTCAGGCTGTTCTTGTACCCTTGGGCTCAGGCAATCCTCTCACCTCAGCCTCCCAAAGTGCTGGGATTATGCCCGGCCATGCTTTCTTTCCTTAAAAAAATTTTTAAGGTCGGGCATGGTGGCTCGCGTCTATAATCCCAGCACTTTGGGAGGCCGAGGTGAGAGAATTGCCTGAGTCCACAGATTATAGACCAGCCAGGGCAAGTTGGCAAGACCTTGTCTCTACAATAAACAAACAAACAAAAAAAATCAACTGGGCATGGAGGCACGTGCCTGTAATTCCAGTTACTTTGCAGGATGAAATGGAAGGATTGCCTGAGCCAGCAGGTCAAGGCTGTGGTGGCTGTGAGTGTGCCACTGCATTCCAGCCTGGGTGATGGACTCAATTTGAATCAGAGTCTCACTCTGTCATCCAGGTTGGAGCGCAGTGGCACGCTCATGGCTCACTGTAGCCTCGATTTCCTGGGCTCAGGCAATCCTTCTGCCTTGGCCTCTCAAGTAGCTGAGACTACAGGTGAATGCCACCATGCCCAGCTAATTTTTTTTGTAGAGATGAGGTCTCACTTTGTTGCCTAGGCTGGTCTCAAACTCCTGATCTCAAGCAATCCTCTGCTTGGATTATAGGCATGAGCCATGGAGCCCGGCAGAAGTGTTTCATTGCAGTTGCTACACCAGGAGGGTACAATCCGGGAATCGGGGGCGGGGGGGGGACAGGGTTGTCTGGAAATGGAGTCATCACCAAAGAAAGGCAGACATGATAGAATAGAAGGGGAAAACAGTCCTGTTGTCCTGTTGGCCTCTTTTGGGCTTCTGGATCCAGCCTTGCCTTAAGTTTTCAATTTCTTGACCTCCAAACTCACCATTTTCTCAAACCAGTTTGAGTTTGCGCTCTGTCACTTGCCACCAAATGAGTCCTGACTGATAGAAAGAAGGAGAAAACAAGTCCCTGAAGCTAAATGTGTGGTCCAGTCTCAGAAGTCCTAGGCCTCGCCCCGGGCACAGCCCTGTCGTGGATGGGGGAGGGACGCCTGGTTCCCCACAGACCACATTACCTGCTCCAGCCGCTCCTGCTGCCTCACGGCAGCCTCCATTGCCGCCAGCTCCTTAAGCCGAGCCCGGAGGTGGGCAAGCTTGCCGGCCTTGGCCCCCTTGCCGCCCATCTGCTCCGTCACAGCGAGGGTGGCGCTGAAGAGCTTCGGGGTGCCCGGCCGGGGGGGTAGGAGGAGCACACTCTTCTCCTCCTTGGGCTTGTTGTTACTTTTCAGCATGTGCCTGCAAGACAGCAGCACCCGCCCACGTCACAGGCCAGCCCTGGGAGAGGGGGCCCTTTCAGTGGTGGAGAGCTTTAAGTCCAAGTTGTGCGGGGGTGATTTTGGCTAAGATTATTGATGCTTTTTCTGGGTCAAGCACAGTGCTAGGTGCTCTCTGAATAGCATCTCACTGAACGATCAGAACATGTTAGGAGATGGGTCTAATGTCTGCATCTTATAGGTGAGAAAACTGAGGCTCAGGGAGATTAAGTAACTTGTCTGAGGTTACACGGCTAGGAAACTCTTTTGGTTTCATTTTTTAAGAGATAGTGTCTCACTCTGTTGCCCAGACTGGAGTGCAGCGGCGTGATCATGGCTCACTGCAGCCTCAAACTCCTTGGCTCAAGTGATCTCCCATCCCAATCTCCAAGTAGCTGGGATTACAGGTGTTGCCCCTATGCCTAGTTAATTACTTTATTTTATTTTTGTAGAGATGAGGTTTTGTTATATTGCCTAGGTGGGTCTCAAACTCCTGGGCTGAAGCAATCCTCCTACCTCAGCCTCCCAGAGTGCTGGGATTACAGGCATAAACCACCAATCCCAGTTTTTTGTTTGTTTGTTTTTCGAGTTGGAGTCTCACTCTGTCTCCCAGCCTGGAATGCAGTGGCATGCTCACAGTCACCATAGCCTCCATCTGCTGGGATCAGGCGATCCTTCCACCTCAGCCTTTCAAGTAGCTGGAACCATAGGCATGTGTCACCACGCCCAGCTAATTTTTTGATTTATTGTAGAGATGAGATCTTGCCAAGTTTCCCAGGCTGGTCTCGAACCCTCAGCCTCCCAGAGTGCTTGCACCACTGAGCCCAGTTTTTTTTTTTTTTTAAACAGCAGTTTAACTCGACAGAACAATTAGGAAATACTAAAAGATACTTTAATATGAGGAATCAGAGATAGGCTGCCCAGGTGAAAAGGAATCCAAGGCTTTTCCTTCTCCTGCTTCCCTGCCACTTCTCTGCCGTCACCCTCACAACGATCAGCACTTACTGAGTGTCCAAATGAGTCCCCCTTCCCATTGTTCCCGTTTCTGTGTCTGACCCCCTGCCCCCGAGATTGAGTGGGGCATGTGTCTTGCTTATTTTATTTTGTCAGTGTCTCACTCTGTTGCCCAGGCTGGACATGATCATGGCCACTGTAGCCTCGACCTGCTGGGCTCAGGTGAACCTTCCACCTCTGCCTTCCAAGTAGCTGGAACTACAGGCAAGTACCACTATACCCTGCTAATTTTTGATTTATTGTTGAGACAAGGTCTTGCCAAGTTGCCCAGTCTGGTCTTGAACCCCTGGGCTCAGGCAATCCTCTCACCTTCACCTCCCAAATTGCCGGGATTATAGGCGTGAGCCACTGAGCTCTGCTATGTGTCTTGCTTTTAACCAATAGCATACAGCAAGGGATATCACTTGTGTGAATATGTCACATAGGCCAGCAATCTCTGTCTTGCAAGGAGACTCTCCCTTGCTGACTGTAATGAAGTGAGCAGCCATGCTGGGGAGGCCCTGTGGTGAGGACCTGAGGCCAACCACTGGCAACAACTCACTGGAACCAAGGCCCCCAGTCCTGCAACCTCAAGCACCTGAATTCGGCCAACAGCCATGTGGTCTTGCAAGCAGTTCCTTCTCTCATCAAGACTTGAGATGAGACTCTGCTCTGGCTGACACTTTGATGACTAGCTAAGCTGTCCCAAAACTTCTGACCCATGGAACTGAGATGACAAATGTGTGGGTGTAAGCTGCTAAATGTGTGGTAATACTGTGGTGCTAATACGCATTCTATTTTAAGCCTCACAACAGACCTCACAAGTAGGTCTTAAAATTCACTCTCATTTTCCAAATGAGGATATAGAAGTCCAGAAGGGCTGAGTAACTTCCCCAAGGCTACACAGTTGGGAAGTGGCAGGGCTGGAATTCAAACCCACACCTTTGACCCCATCACCCTGATCTTTCCTTTTTTTTTTTGAGTTGGAGTTTCAAGCTATCACCCATGTTGGAGTGCAGTGGCACACTCAATGCCACCCCAGCTTTGACCTGCTGGGTTCTGGCGATCCTTCCGTCTCAGCCTTCCAAGTAGCCAGAACTACAGGTGCGCGCTACCTCGCCTGGCTAATTTTTGATTTATTGTAGAGATGAGGTCTTGCCAAGTTGCCCAGGCTGGTCTCAAACCTGCGGGCTCAGGCAATCCACTCACCTTGGACTCCCAAAGTACTGGGCTTACAGGCTGAGCCACAGAGCCCGGCCTAACCCCGGATCTTAATGATTACAAAATGGCTGGGTGTGGTGGCTCATGCCTGTAATCCCAGCACTTTGGGAGACCAAGGAGGGAGGGAGGGTCACCTGAGCCCAGGACCAGTCTGGGGAACATAGCGGGAAGCTGTCTATACATAAGATGAAAAAAACTAGCTGGGCATCATGGTACATGCCTGTAGTCTCAGCTACTTGGGAGGCTGAGGAAGGAGAATCACTTGAGCCCAGCAGTGGAGTGAGGCCGTAGTGAACTATGATCATGCTACTACCCTCTAGCTTGGGTGACAGAGCAAGATCCTGTCTCTCAAAAAAAGGGAAAAGGTGACAAGGCAACATTACCGTCATTTGGACTACATGGATGCTGACAGTACTCTTGTAACATGGAAAGGGCTGGGATTATTGTACCTCTGACAATTGGTGAAACTGAGGCTCAGAGTGGGGGGAGTGACATGCCCAAGGTTACCAGGCAGTGGCAGAGGCAGAATCACAAGCCAGATTGAATGCAATGTACCACCCTGTTTCTCTAAATAAGGATAGAATTTTCCATCCAACAGAGCCCTGGCCTTTTACTAGGAAGTTTTCACACTGCTAGCATGTGATGAGTGGTTTGGCTCAAGAACAAATGAATTTTGCCTGCAATCAGCGGGCCTAGTGGGCCTCGACAATGGATTGGCAAATTCACTCATCAGGGTTCCAAGCCAACGCATTTGTGTTAAAACACAGCCATTACAGGCAGCTGATCTAATCAGAGGCAATGGGTTTAAATTGTGAGATTGATATTAATTGCTCAAGATTTGCATTTTCTAGCAGGGACTCCCCCAGGAGAACACAAACACTATCATTCATCAGACGCCTCTTACCCGCCAGCTCGGCACTGTCCCTGAGTTATTTGAGTCCATAATTCGTGGCATGACAGTCCACAGAAGGCTCAGCGTGGTGCGAAGTGACACAAAAGAACTATTTATAGGACCACTGCTGATTGCTAATGGTTGTCTGTGTTTTGAAACATCGAGCTGGCTTCTGGGATGTTTCCAGATCAGGGAAATTCATCCTCATTCTCAGATGATGTATGCCTCTCTACAATTGGGATTGTGTGATGGCCTCTGAAGACAGCAGCGTGCAGAAAGATTTCTCCATCTCCTTTCCTGGAGAGGCCGAGTCAGACCCCTGAGCACTTTACCTTTGTGGGGCCTCAGGATGGGAGCGTGGGCAGACTGCCACAGGCACTCACCAACTCAGAGGTTCCTAGGCCCCGTGGTTCTCACACAGAGTCTCTCCCTTGATGAGCAGATCTCATACCTGGTCCCCTGCCTCTCTGGTCGAGCTGGCTGGTCCAGAGTACAGTTGCTCCGATGCCTCATGGCTGGCCCATCAGCCTTCCTGCTTCCTCTGACTCCTCCCCCCTGTACCTCAGCCTTCTCCAGAGAGGGCGCAGGTGACAGGCGCTGTTGGGAAGCGAGGCCTCTGCACTGCTCTTGGAAGGGCCTCAGGGGTCCCAGCTGATTTGCTAAACCCTTACCTAAGTCAGCCTCGTTCCGTGTGTGTGTGTGTGTGTGTGTGTGTGTGTGTGTGTGTGTGTGTGTAGGGGGGTGGTGGGTAGGAAGAGAGAGCAGGAAGACCTGGTGCTGGTTTTCAGACACAGGCAATTAAATCACACAGTTCATAATAATTATGTCCTGTGAGGTCTCTGCAGACGCTGAATTAGCAAATATTAAAACACTGGAAATTGTTTTTCACTCAAAAAATTAGCCAGGCGTAGTGGCACGTGCCTGCAGTCCCAGCTACTCTGGATGCTGAGGTAGAAGGATCACCTGAGCCCAGGAGGTTAAGGCTGTGGTGAGCCATGATCATGCCACTGCACTCCAGCCTGAGTGACAGAGTGAGACCATGATTCAAACAAAACAAAGCAAAAAACCTAACTTCATTCCAACGCCACAGAGTTCATTCAAATCTTCTCTCTTTCTATGCTTTTAAATCCCTTCTCCATCACTGAGAAATATACAGTAGTTTCAGAATCACGATCCCACACTACTGTTTAAAAACCAAGTCTTCTAGGCGGGGCTTGGTGGCTCAGCCTGTAATTCCAGCATTTTGGGAGGCCGAGGCCAGTGGATTGCCTGAGCCCGTAGGTTCAAGACCAGCCTGGGCAACTGGGCGAGACCTCATCTCTACAATAAATCAAAAATTAGCCAAGCATGGTAGCGCCCGCCTGTAGTTCCAGCTAGTTGGAAGGCTGAGGTGGAAGGATTGCAGGAGTCCAGCAGGTCGACGCTGGAGTTACTGTGAGCAAGCCACTGCCCTCCAGCCTGGGCGATGGAGTGAGACTCCAA